CAAAAAACGAGGGCACGCAAGTCCATTTGTTCAGATCAGCTCTCCCAGTGGGGCCCCCAGACCAGGGCCGGGGGCAGAACCTGAGAACCAGGCAGAAACGCACATGCTCCATGCCCGCCCCAAAAATACTCGTATCATTGCTAATCACTATTATCACAATAGTGAGTTGGGGGCGGGGGGAGCTGAGGTGCAGCCACCTGACCTAACAGCCCATGGTTCCAGGTGGTTCTGCGGCGCCCCGGGTCAGACATCGGCGGGTAAGCCCTACACCCTTCCACGAGTCTGACAGCCGGTTCTCGCAGCCTTGTGTGCAACATCCACACGATCACACACACGGCGTGTGTTGAACAATTAAAACAAAAAACAAAAGTCATGGCTTGCCTCTGTAAAGAGATGGTTCAGAGTGGAGGCAAACTGACTTGTTTTCCTGAAGGACAAGACCCCCTGGCCCAGGAGGAACCGGGGCCCTCGGTTTTGTTCAAACGATGATGTGAGGAAACCAAGACAGGAGAGAAGTCATGAAATGGCTTTACTCCCTGCAGCCCACGGACACGTCCTTGAACCAGGCAGAGGGACCCTCCTCTCAGGGCTCAGCGGCCTCAGTATGGACACTTTGCTGAGGGCAACAGGCCATCCTAGCCCAGCCCCCAGGAGCCTGGGAGTCTACTTAACATCAAAAAATCCCTTTGGAAGCTTCCTTTATCTTGAAAGCCTCCAAGACACATGTTGGCAACTGTCCCCCAGGCATGCGGCCCACCAACGTAAGCGTGAAGGGTCCCAGGACTCAGGCTTTGGTAGACGGTAGTAAGTGACCTTCCCCCAACAACAGCTGGGCCCCCAAGGTCCTGGAAACCTTGCTGCCCAAATTCCTCAGGGACTCACACTCTCCCTAACCCCCTCCCAACGTGGAAGTATCTAATGGAGCCCTGGTGATCCCAGGACAGCTCTTTCCGCCCATGCCCTCTGTCCCCGTGCTGCAATAAAGTCACCTTTTTTGCACCCAAGACATCTCAGGAATTCTTTCATGGCCATTGGCTTCGAGCCCTCATGTCTTCTCCTACATCAGTGGGTTCCTGGATGCCTGAGGGGACATGTAGACCAGCCCACGGTCCTCCACAAGACCCCAGACCCCAACTAAGACAGACTCGTGCTCCTTCTCCTTGAGGCTCCCAGGTGCTCCCTCCACACCTGCTGTCTGTACCGTAGTTGGTGAATTCCACTCCCACCTCCCGCTGGCTTGCATCTGCTCTCCATCCTGTGGGGAGCCAAGTACCCTCCTGGCTGGTCCTGGGGACCCCCTCTGGGTCCTCGCACCGGACCTTCAGAAAGATTTTATTGGGGGATAGAACTGCCCTTGGTTGTCGGCAGATACAAGTAATTGTGTGTCTTTACAGAATAGCTCCGCCCAGGCCTGTTTCAAGAACTATCACAACACGGGGAGGTAAGCGGGTGCTTTGTCTTCTCTGCAGCTCAGGGGTCCTGGCCATGTCGGATCTGTGCAGCAGACCATGAGATTCAAGCTACGTGACCCAGTCTGTGGATGTGGCCTTGAGCCTCACCATCCCCTCAGAAGGCGGACGTGGAAGAGAGCGATTCTCTGCTTAGGACTTAAAAGACTTCAACTCTGGGCAAGCGCACTCCTTGCACATATAACGCGACCCCCATATGCAACTTAATTTTTAAAAAATATTTATTATTTATGACAGAGAGAGAGAGAGAGAGAGAGAGAGAGAGAGGCAGAGACACAGGAGGAGGGAGAAGCAGGCTCCATGCCAGGAGCCCGACGCGGGACTCGATCCCGGGACTCCAGGATCGCACCCTGAGCCAAAGGCAGGCGCTAAACCACTGAGCCACCCAGGGATCCCCCGCAACTTATTTTTTAACCACGTTTAAGAAGCAACAAAATGAGTGAGGTTCACATTAAAATATACTTTAATCCAGTGCATTAAAAACATTTCAGCGTGTAAAAAGTACAAAGTTAATGAGATAGTTTCGCTTTTTAAAAGTCTTCAAGATCCTGCATGTATTTATGCGTAAAGACCATCTCAAAATGCTAAATTTTTAACTAGAAAGACTTGTTTTGTTTAGACTTAAAATTGGGGTAGCCTGGGGGGCTCAGTGGTTTAGCACTGCCTTCAGTCCAGGGCCTCATCCTGGGGTCCCGGGATCAAGTCCCACGTCGGGCTCCCTGCAGGGAGCCTGCTTCCCCCTGTGCCTGTCTCTGCCTCTCTCTCTCTCTCTTTCTCTCTCATGAATAAATAAAATCTAAAAAAAATTGTCATTGCAAAAGTCGATTTCATACCCAAGTGGTTCAAATATACTAAAAAGGCTTTCGGTAGCCTAACTAGATATCAGTTTCTATATTTAAATAAAAAAAAAATAAACCTGTTATTTAAAAAAGAAAAAAAAAAGAAAAAAAAAGAGAAAAGAAAAGAAAAGAAAAGAAAAGAAAAGAAAAGAGAAAAGAAAGAAAAGGACAACCACTACAGTGCCCCAAATGGTGTTACTTAGGCCGACTTTCCCAGTCCCGGTAACACCCAGTGAAAGGCCATTCCGGCCTCCCCAGGAAGGGAGCCCCAGCTAGGTCAGCCAGGAGACGTCCCCTCCTCCCAGCACCAGGGTCTGCAGCAGCAGGAGGAGTCCCCCTTCACCCTGGGAGCCCTCCTGGGAACAATCCTTGTCTCTGGCTAACAGCTTCCCTGCCCCAGCCTCAATGGATCAAAACCAAAACCAAACATTCTGTGGGACAGCTGCGGGTGGCGGCATGCATCCCTGAATGGAGCCAATGGGATCGTCCCGTTCCCTTGGCTGGTTCGCACAGTTCCCAGGATGGGCTTCTCCCTGCACCCCGGGCGTGGGAGCACCGCCTGGATCCCCAGGCACCGGAAGCAATCTAGGCCTGCAGGTTGACAGCCCTGCATCCCTGCAGCTCCTCCTCCACAGCCCCAGGAGCCCTGGGTCAGGGAGCAGCGTCAGCTCAGGGAGCACCGCGTGAGGAAGCATCATCAGCTGCGGGAGCATGGAGTCGGGGAGCACCGTCGGCCCAGGGAGCCCCGGGTCAGGGAGCAGCGTCAGCTCCGGGGCCCCGGGTTGGGGAGCACTATCAGCTCGGGGAGCCCCGGGTCTGGGAGCACTGTCAGCTCGGGGAGCCCCGGGTCGGGGAGCACTGTCAGCTCGGGGAGCCCCGGGTCGGGGAGCAGCGTCAGGTCGGGGAGCCCGGGTCGGGAGCAGCGTCAGCTCGGGGAGCCCCGGGTCGGGAGCACTGTCAGCTCTGGGAGCCCCGGGTCGGGGAGCAGCGTCAGGTCGGGGAGCCCCGGGTCGGGAGCACTGTCAGCTCTGGGAGCCCCGGGTCGGGGAGCAGCGTCAGGTCGGGGAGCCCAGGTCGGGGAGCAGCGTCAGGTCGGGGAGCCCGGGTCGGGAGCAGTGTCAGCCCGGGGAGCCCGGGTCAGGGAGCAGAGTCAGCTCGGGGAGCCCCGGGTCGGGAGCAGCGTCAGCTCGGGGAGCCCCGGGTCGGGAGCACTGTCAGCTCGGGGAGCCCGGGGTTGGGAGCAGAGTCAGCTCGGGGAGCCCCGGGTCGGGAGCAGCGTCAGCTCTGGGAGCCCCGGGTCGGGAGCACTGTCAGCTCGGGGAGCCCCGGGTCGGGAGCACTGTCAGCTCGGGGAGCCCGGGTCGGGGAGCAGCGTCAGGTCGGGGAGCCCCGGGTCGGGAGCAGCGTCAGCTCTGGGAGCCCCGGGTCGGGAGCACTGTCAGCTCGGGGAGCCCCGGGTCGGGAGCACTGTCAGCTCTGGGAGCCCCGGGTCGGGAGCAGCGTCAGCTCGGGGAGCCCGGGTCGGGGAGCAGCGTCAGGTCGGGGAGCCCCGGGTGGGGAGCAGCGTCAGCTCGGGGAGCCCCGGGTCGGGAGCAGCGTCAGCTCGGGGAGCCCGGGTCGGGGAGCAGCGTCAGGTCGGGGAGCCCCGGGTCGGGAGCAGCGTCAGCTCGGGGAGCCCCGGGTCGGGGAGCAGCGTCCGGTCGGGGAGCCCAGGTCGGGGAGCAGCGTCAGGTCGGGGAGCCCGGGTCGGGAGCAGTGTCAGCCCGGGGAGCCCGGGTCAGGGAGCAGAGTCAGCTCGGGGAGCCCCGGGTCGGGAGCAGCGTCAGCTCTGGGAGCCCCGGGTCGGGAGCACTGTCAGCTCGGGGAGCCCCGGGTTGGGAGCAGCGTCAGCTCTGGGAGCCCCGGGTCGGGAGCACTGTCAGCTCGGGGAGCCCCGGGTCGGGAGCAGCGTCAGCTCGGGGAGCCCCGGGTCGGGAGCAGCGTCAGCTCGGGGAGCCCCGGGTCGGGAGCAGCGTCAGCCCGGGGAGCCCGGGTCGGGGAGCAGCGTCAGGTCGGGGAGCCCCGGGTCGGGAGCAGCGTCAGCCCGGGGAGCCCGGGTCGGGGAGCAGCGTCAGGTCGGGGAGCCCGGGTCGGGAGCAGCGTCAGCTCGGGGAGCACCAGGTCCGGGAGCAGCGTCATCTCCGGGAGCACCGGGTCGGGGAGCTCCATCGGGTCCGGGAGCGCCTTCGGTCGGGGAGCACCGTCGGGTCTGGGAGCCCCGTCCTGCAGAGCGAGCCGCCGCGTGTGCGGGAGCAAAGCCCGGCCCCGTGGGACGCCCACACTGGGTGCCCGCGACATGGGCCGACCAGAGGCGGGCGCGGCCGGGGTCAGCCCCGCAGCAAATCGAGCGCACGCCCCGGCAGGGAGCGGGGAAGCCCCCGTCGGCGGCGGTTTCCCGCGGGGCAAACGGCCTCCAGAGCGCCGTGACGTCGCGGCGACGTCCGCTCCCGGCGCCCACGGCGAAGCCGCTGCGGCCATCTTTACTGCGGTCAGCCCTCCGGGGGCCGTTCCGGGCGGCCGCGGCGGCTCGCGGTGGGAAGCCTGGCGAAAGGCGCGCGTCGGAGGGCACCAGCGGACGCACTCGCGGGGGCGGGCGGAACGATCGGGCCGCGTCTCGGCGGTTTCCGGGCGGACGCCGGCCGTCGGCTTCCGTTGCTCGGCGGAAGCGAGTCCGCCGAGGACGAGCGCCGGCCGCCGCCGCGCCGCGCCGAGCCGCCGAGAGCCATGTCGAGCCTGGCGGTGCGGGACCCGGCCATGGACCGGTCGCTGCGCTCCGTGTTCGTGGGGAACATCCCGTACGAGGCGACGGAGGAGCAGCTGAAGGACATCTTCTCGGAGGTGGGCTCGGTGGTGAGCTTCCGGCTGGTGTACGACCGCGAGACGGGCAAGCCCAAGGGCTACGGCTTCTGCGAGTACCAGGACCAGGAGACGGCGCTGAGCGCCATGCGCAACCTCAACGGGCGCGAGTTCAGCGGCCGCGCGCTGCGCGTGGACAACGCCGCGAGCGAGAAGAACAAGGAGGAGCTCAAGAGCCTGGGCCCCGCCGCGCCCGTCGTCGACTCGCCCTACGGCGACCCCATCGACCCCGAGGACGCGCCCGAGTCCATCACGCGCGCCGTGGCCAGCCTGCCGCCCGAGCAGATGTTCGAGCTCATGAAGCAGATGAAGCTGTGCGTGCAGAACAGCCACCAGGAAGCGCGCAGCATGCTGCTGCAGAACCCGCAGCTGGCCTACGCGCTGCTGCAGGCGCAGGTGGTCATGCGCATCATGGACCCCGACCTGGCGCTCAGGATCCTGCACCGCAAGGTCCACGTGACGCCGCTGCTGCCCGGCAAGGCGCAGCCCGGCCCCGGCCCCGGCCCCGGCCCCGGCCCTCGGCCCCGGCCCCGGCCCCGGCCCCGGCCTCGGCCCCGGCCCCGGCCCCGCCGCCCCGGCCGTCCTGCTGGCCCAGCAGAGCCCCGCCGCCCCGCAGCCGCCGCACCTGGCGCGGAGGCCGGTGAAGGACATCCCCCCGCTGATGCAGACCCCGATCCAGGCCGGCATGCCGGCGCCGGGCCCTCTGTCCGCCGCGGGGCCGGGCCCCGGGCCCGCCGCGCTCCCTGCCGCGGGCGGCATGCAGCCGCAGGTGGGGATGCCCGGCGTGGGGCCCCTGGAGCGCGGCCAGGTGCAGATGGCCGACCCCAGGGCGCCCCTGCCGCGGGGGCCCATGGCCGCGGGGGGCCTCCCTCCTCGGGGGCTGCTGGGGGACGCCCCGAACGACCCCCGCGGGGGGACTCTGCTCTCGGTCACCGGGGAGGTGGAGCCCCGAGGCTACCTGGGCCCGCCCCTGCACCACGCGTCCGGCCACGCCAGAGACTCGCACGACCTGCGGGGCGGGCCCCTCGCCGACCCCAGACTGCTGATGGGAGAGCCCCGGGGGCCCATGATGGATCAGAGGGGGCTCCCCATGGATGGCAGAGGGAGCAGAGATTCTCGAGGGATGGAGACGGAAGTCCTAGAGACCAGAGTGCTGGAGAGGAGAGGGATGGAGACCTGTGCGATGGAAGCCAGAGGCATGGACGCGAGAGGGATGGAGATGCGGGGCCCCGGCCCCGGCCCCGGCACCAGAGGCCCAATGACTGGGGGAATCCAGGGGCCCGGGCCCATTAACATGGGGGCGGGTGGTCCTCAGGGACCCAGACAGGTGTCGGGCATTTCAGGGGTGGGAAATCCTGGAGCTGGCATGCAGGGGGCAGGCATGCAAGGAGGGGGCATGCAGGGGGCGGGCATGCAAGGAGGGGGCATGCAGGGGGCAGGCATGCAAGGAGGGGGCATGCAGGGGGCGGGCATGCAAGGAGGGGGCATGCAGGGGAGGGCATGCAAGGAGGAGGCATGCAAGGAGGGGGCATGCAGGGAGGAGGCATGCAGGGGGCGGGCATGCAGGGGGCGGGCATGCAGGGAGGGGGCATGCAAGGAGCAGGCATGCAAGCAGTGGGCATGCAGGGGGCAGGCAAGCAAGGTGGAGGCCAGCCTAGCAGTTTCAGTCCTGGGCAGAGCCAGGTAACTCCACAGGATCAGGAAAAGGCAGCTCTGATCATGCAGGTTCTTCAGCTGACTGCAGATCAGATTGCCATGCTGCCCCCTGAGCAGAGGCAGAGCATCCTAATTTTAAAGGAACAGATTCAGAAGTCTACTGGAGCTTCTTGAGCGGTGTCGGGAGATAACTGGCAGTGGTCTCCGAGTTTTCCTGTAGCATGGAGGGTGAATGCAGAAGGTCAACGTCTGCATCCCCACACTCCAGTGATTAGGGTTTCCCTTCCTGATTTCATCTTATCTTTTTATTTTCTTTTTTAATGGGGGCGGGGGGGGCAGGGGGAGGCAGGATTGGGTCTGTTCACTTTTACTCACTGTAAATACACAAGAATAACTCTGAACGTGGTTATACTACACGGAGTACGATGACAACACAACAATACTGAGAGTGTCTACAATATGTTAAACTACATTTTTTGAATACCGAGTAAAACAATGTGAAAACTGCACATAAGGACTAAACTATTGACCTGTTAAAATGGTAACATGCTAAAACAGTTTACGATTTTTGGTTGTGTAAGAAAATAAAGACGTTTACCTCAAAATTATCAGATACATTTTTTTTTTTTTTTTTTTTGGTAAGCCGTTTGAAATAGCAAGTACTATTTTGGGGACAGGAGATGGTTGTATTAGGTTAAGCATCGTTTTAGTGGAATTATTTCAAAATGTTAGTGCTAACAGGTTAAGTCTCAACTTGTATTAGAACTGGTTGGTGGGTTTTGGGTTTTTTTTATTTTTTTAGTTTTGTCTTTTTTTTAAAGTTGTGCTACCTGAAAAATCCAGGAGTGCATGTGGTGTGACGTTGCGTGTACCCCGCCGTCCAGAGAGCAGCAGTATTCCGGCCTGGCCTTGAGCCTGATGGTTCTGGGACGGCCCTAGGACGGGCCAGGGTCCGGAAGGCCGCTCTCTCAGTACCCTCCTGCATCTCAGTAATCTTTAAGTCCTGATGTGAATCTAAGTAGCTGCCTCACATCCTTTGTAAACAGGCGCGTCTAGGGGCCAGTTTACCGGGGCGAGTTGTGCACCGCGTTGGACCCCACAAGTCGCAGAGGCCTTGATGCAGGACAGCTCCCGGGCCCCTGGTGACCAGCCTCCATAGGCAGGTGGTGTTACCCCCGTGGTTGGCCTCAGTCTCTCCAACATGTAACCCCCCTTTCAGTTTTCTCGTTTGCAGATCTACTTAACCTAACACCGTGTTTGTCAGAGTAATTGAGACCCAGGTACCAAGACATAATGCTTCTAAGCATGAGTTCTCGGCTCAGCTAGGTACTTAGTACTCTGCTGTTCATGAGAAATAAAGCCCAGTTAGCCCTAATACATGTACCCATGACAGAGACTTAAAAGTCAGTAGGAAGGTGGGGCTTATCACATTTTCTTTAGAACCACTACCTAATTTATTTTTAAGCCTTAAAGACAACACAAAAATGCATATTCTAGACCACACTATAATTAGCAGAAGCTCCCAGATTACCAGGTGGTCTTACTCTGGGGAAGAAAAACCAATGTCTAGTAATAGAGGAAAAAAGAGCAATGAATACAAGGAGCATCTTCAACGGGCACGTGTCTCTTACAAAGTTTTCCTCCCTGTGCTATTTCCTGCCACCTGTTTTACTCCCGATTTTTTACCATTGCTCCTGCTGGCCACCTTGCTTGATCCCAAAGCTTTCCCCGAAGGGCTCTCACCGAAAACTTCGATGTTAAGGTTCTTTGCTGTAGTTACATCTGCGCTGTTCAAGGCAAACTAAGAGGAATGTAAAGGTGACTGGTGTCTGATGTGTATTTTTAACGAATTATTCAAAAGATACCTGTTCTTGAGAGATGCAAGAATACTTTCTTTTAAATATAAAAGGCAAAACTAAAAACTGCAGGAGTGGATAGAAATCCCTTTCTTAAACCCATGATCTGGGTAAGTGCACAGCTGAGGTCACTGTGAAGATGTGCTCTGTGGCACGATGACAAGACATGCTCCGTGGCAAGATGTCCATAGCAACATCTTGGTGCCTGCGCACCTGCCAGGTCCACTTTGCTGGCGTCCCCCGAAGATGTCCCCCCACCTCCCCATAATGATCTTCCCGACAGCACTTGGTACATTTGCTTTACCCCCCGCCCCCTGCTCCGTTTCACAGACCAGGAACTCGAATGTGGACTGCCCCTCGTTTCTGTATTTGCTATGCCAAAGTCAACAGGCGAGAAAGAGACAAAAGGCGTATCAATCTTAGGGGGGAAACCCTATTTCCCCAAAAAAGGTTTAGATGGCACACACAACAAATGAGCTCTCACAACTAGTTAACATTGGAAAACAAATTAGCAAAAGGCAACAGAAGCAATCCCCTATTCTCTGCTAGGCCTTGCAAAAGAGGTTTTCCCATCTGCCCCTTTACTGGGTTTGGGGGGTTTGTACAAAGATAGGGAATGAAGAACGCAAAATGGTTTATGGTTCAAATTGTCCGCTCCGATCCAACCTGGTACTGAGGGTACCTTTCCGGTACGGTACTGTGATGTTTCATACAAAGCAGTGAACATAACCAACTTGTTACTTAAATAAAAAATTGATTTAGGAAAAAAAAAAAAAAAAAACAGGGTCACTGAGTAGGGAGGGAGGGAGAAAGCCTCATTTCATTCGATGGTGATCCAAGCGACACGTGTGCCATAATCAGAATCTTAGCTGTTTTACTACATCATCACTCCTTATACCCCTCAGCATCCTGCATTTCCCCAAATCTGAGTAGGCTACAAAAGGCGATCACAAATCCCTTCATAAAAACAATTCTTAAAGACAATGGAGCAGAACACTGATTTGCAAATGGCTTTTTAGGGCTATTCCTCTGGAGCGGTAGGTTTTCTGGGGGGAGTGTGAAAGGCTCAACTTTAACCCATGCCTGCCCTTTAGCCTTTTCCCCTTCGATGCCTGGTAATATCAAGACCACTTCTATCATCTGCTGATGTTCCCGGACTTCTAATTTTTAAGAGTTATTGGATAAGACAGAAACCAGCATGAATCCCAGGTGACTGCAGATTCATCCGAACAAGACCATGTCCGACTTGTCAATAGCACGTCCACAACACGTTTTTAATGCTTTTCTGGCATCAGAATGCTTTTTTTTAAAAAAATGCTTTTCCTGTCATCTGATAAATATGATCAATCAATAAAAAAAAAAAAAAAACCCAAACCCTTACCATCACCTCAGTTTGCAGAGCACCTCACTTTCCCGTGCTCTGATGCGACATGAAGCACACAGAACCTTGTTTCCTATGTTCGTGCCAGGCCTCCCTCTCAGGACAATCACACGCGGCAACCCACCGTGGCCGACTCAACCATCAGCCCCATCTCCCGCTCTTCTCACAAGAGTAAGTCAGCTCTCACTGCTGAATGCTGTCAGCTAATCTTGAGACAGACCTGTGGCTGGAGACGGCTTTTCTCATCCGCCTTGTCAAGAAGACTCTATCATCAAGAGCTAATGCAGTTGAAGGAGTATCATTAATGCCACTACTCACTTCAATAGTACGAATATTACAGTATTGGTGTAGACTTCGCTCCTACGTTTTATACCCATGCATATTCCCAAATCTTAACTAGGTCTTGGGATTGTTTCCATTTGCTCTTATGCACTTTGGAACAAATATCTACTCCTTCTGTTGAAAATCCAGCCTGACGAATGTTCATGTTACGAATCGCCTCTCTCATGAAATGTTAATGAGCATGTTTCTTCTCGATGTTCTCTACCACGGCATAAGCATTATGTCACGGAAAGGGCCTAGATTGCATCAGAAGTGACGTTGGGATACTATGGTCAAAGATAACAAAAACTCAGTGATTATTAGACACTGTACGTAAAAACACTAAAGAATTACCCTGGGGTGGCGGGAAGGAAGATGAAATATCCCGGTTAATGACAATTCTTTATCAGTAGAAGTTGATTTAGGTGCCAAAGGTAGGTAACTAATTATCAAAGGGTTAGAATAAAATAGTCAACATCCTCCACTGTGATGGCTTCTGTACAACCTAAAGGGTATTAACTCTTCAGGGATTCAAAATCAATCTCAGGTGTCACAACAGTTGGTCATTAAAAAAAAAGAAGAAGAAAATCTGATTACTTATTTTGGTCTATCCAGAAAAGTAGAATGGATTATCTCTCTGGCATCAAGCAATGAAAGCAGCAGGCCCCTCCCTCTGAAAGTCATTTTGTCTCTTCAATTAATTAGCTGTCTTCATCAAAATTCCATCTCACTGGGGATCCCTGGGTGGCTCAGTGGTTTAGCACCTGCCTTTGACCCAGGGCGTGATCCTGGAGTCCCGGGATCGAGTCCCGCGTCAGGCTCCCCATGGCCTGCTTCTCCCTCCTCCTGTGTCTCTGCCTCTCTCTCTCTCTCTCTCTCTCTCTCTCTCTCATAAATAAATAAATAAATAAATAAATAAATAAATAAATACATACATACATAAATAAATACATAAATAAATAAATATTTAAAAAAAATTCCGTCTCACTGCATTACCAATATACTTCAATAACTATACTGCTCAAGTCCGGGAGCCACTTCGGTGTACCTTTCAGCCTTTGACTGCTCTAGTCTCTCACCTTGCTGCCCAGAGGGAATGGGGGACAACCTGCATGTTGATGCACCCCTCATCCCTGGACGTTGCACAGAACAAGGTAATATCTGCTATGACTCAGCCCCCGAGTCCCTTTACCTTAAACATTGAGTTTTAATAACATTCAAACCACGAGCCACAGTAAAAATCATATTAGTTGAGTTCATAGTGGGACGGAAAGGCCTATACAGGGCTTGCTTGGTGCACTAACATCCGTAAAACCAGTCTATGTCCCAAACATCATCCTTGTTCACACGTTAAATAATACGGCAACACAAATAAGAAGGAATTAAAACATTTCCAGACGCCAACCTGGCTCTGCGAGGGTAAACGCAACCACGGCTTACTAACAGAAAATCCTTCCTGTCTTAGGGTCAACCGGTATGCCAAAGGCTTCCTTTCATCTTCTGTACTTGCTCATCACCAATCAGACAAGAGGATCCTCGTCTCTTCGAAGACAGAGAAACTACATGGTTGAAATTTCTAGAATGACATTCTTTTCCCTCCCCGCCATCCATTTTGTCACTTTGGTCCTTCAGAAGCTCTAAATATCTTCAGACAAGGGACCCTGATCTGTGGCTCGTGGGCCAAGTAAGCCCAAGGATTTCAAAACTTTGAATTTGAGTGCATTTAGGGGTACTGTGTATTCCTCAACATGGCTAGAGGCACAGCCTGTCCCACGGTCCTATAGTAGGTGTGATTCACACAACTGCTGGCCGTCCCTGGAACCTTGGAGTCGACAGCTCCTGCCTTCCTATTTTTTTTATTTATTTATTTATTTATTTATTATTTATTTATTTATTTATTATTATTATTTATTTTAGACAGAGAGAGAGAGAGAGAGGCAGAGACACAGTAGGAGGGAGAAGCAGGCTCCAGGCTGGGAGCCTGATGCGGGACTCGATCCCGGGACTCCGGGATCGCGCCCTGGGCCAAAGGCAGGCTCCAAACCTCTGAGCC